GAGAGAGAACCCAGCCAACAGGTTTGAGTACAGTGTACATTACTCTTACAAATATACTTGGAAATTTTCACTTTTTTCTTTGACAAATATTTTCCATTTTTGCCCCCAATCTCTCTTTCTCTCTTTTAATTAGAAAAAAATTGAGGATTAAATTTGAGTAAGTAATTTTTTTTTTTTTTTACCTTTAACATTATGTGTATACATATATGAAAGCCGCGAGGAATTGTATCTCTTTATTTTGCCTTTTAATTTTAATCATTTTCCCTCCCTCCAAATCGCCTCAAATTCCTCAAAATATTTTTTCACTACATCATGTAGGGTGGAGATTCGAACTCACAACTTGTTAGTGGAAGATAAGTGTCTTAATCAGTTAAGTTATATTCAAGTTTGTTACTTGACAACTTACTTAAATACAATATCTGAAATACTTTTGACAAGCCTTCAAAATCAAAATCACTTCCCTTTTATTGATTATATTTGGCGAATTAATAATTTGATTTTAGGAAAGTTTAAAATTACTTTAAATTGATTTGTAAGGCATCAAATGGATGGTGATCTTAGAAAATCAATTATACTTAAATCTTTTTTTTCAAAATCATTCATTCTACCGTCACTTCCAAACACAAACACACCATTGGAAGTGATTTTATCATGGTTAAAATTACTTTTCTAATTGCCAAAATCACTTTCTTATAATATTGTTTGGCAAAAAGATGATTTTAGAAAAATCTAAAATCACTTTAAAATAATTATTGAAGCATTAGTTGATAGATGATTTTTGTTGGATGGATTGAAAATCACTTCTAACTATATAAAAATTACTTCAAACCCAAACATAAATTAATAGTAATTAAAATCACTTTTACAAAATAAATTGTAATTAAATATTTTTTTTTCCAAAATCACATATGGTACAATGTTACCAAACATGCCCTAAAGCACTTGATCTCATGAAGTGCTTGACTATAGAAACTAATATGAAAGCATTTAAAATTTAAGTTAAAATATTATATTAGTCTCGGTATTTTTAGCTTTGGTTCATTTGGTTTTTATACTTTCACAATTTTCACTTTGATTCCTATACTTCTATCTTTGGTTCATTTTAGTCCCTATACTTTTAAAAAGGGATCATTTTGATCCTTAATTTCAAAACTTTAGCACAAATCCTACACATAGTGGAAATCTTCCAATGCTAAGCCATGATTATATTGCAATAAATATATTTAGAGTAGTGTCGTGTTGAAATTGTGATAGAAAAAATAATATTAAAAATAAAATTAAGGAACCAAAATGTTCACTTTTTAAAAGTACAAAAACTAAAATAAATATTTTGAAATTACAAAAGGTGAAATGAATCAAAATTGAAATACAAAACCAAAATGGACCTTCTAGTACATTGACAAAAATAAACCAAAGTTAAAAATAAAAAATAAAAACAAAAACAATATTTTAACCTAAATTTTAAATAATATAAAGAGAGAACATTCTCACACATCCCAAGACCAAGTTCTTTTGTTCTTTTTCTTTTTTTTTTATGGGTTAGATTTTTTTTTATAGGGGAATGGGTCTGAAAATGGCAAGACATAGCCGTCTTGTTTGAAAATATCTTAAAATTAAAAGATAGTTATTGTTTTTGTTTTGTTCGAGGAAGCAAGTCTAATGCCAGCCTGTTGCCTCTTCCTTTCGGCTTTGCATTTTACTTGCCTACTCCCATACATCCAACTTTCTTTCTCTAGATCATCTACTTTTTCCTTTAAATTTAAGAATTATATAATGAGAAATTGAATTGAAAAATGTCAACACTTAATAGACTAAAGTAAAATTTTAGATAAAATACTCTTTTCGTCCTGAAGTTGGTATTTGTTCATATTTGATCATTGAATTTAAGAAACTACTTTTTGATCTTTAAGATTTAAATTTAGCTTCTATTTGATCCTTTTAAAAGTGACATGTACGGTGGTCATTGAAGTTTGAATTTAGCTTTTACTTAGTCTTTAAGGTTTGAGTTTGGTTTTTATTTAGTCCAGTTGAGTTGACCGTTAGTTGACCTAATGAAATGATGATGTGGCAATTAATATATGTGACTAACAGTAAAAGATCTCTCAAATGACTCAATATGAACGTCCATTATGAATCTAGCTGGCTGCCGAGTAACTTGCTGATTTGCATCGTAAATTAGAACCTAGTCAATTTAAATGTAAAACTAGAGATGAAGGAAGAGGAATGGTTGTGGCAAGAAGAGTGGAAGGAAGGAAGGAAAAGAAAAAGGAGAGAGAAAAATGTCGCTCGAGCGAAAGAGAATAAAGAATAATTAAATTTGTCCGCACATTTAAAAAATAAACACTACCAAACGCCAAAACCAGCATAGTTCAACAATAATTGGCATATATCTCCAACCATGTGAGTTCAATCCCCCGCCCCACATGTTATGTACTAAAAAAAATACACACTACCAAAATATAGTCAACACATGTTTGCTACCATAAATATTCCAGCTATTCAAAGAAGGCGGTCATGAGCGGATGATCTTCGGATTCCATAACAGCACGTCCGGCGGCTACTCAAATGGATCCAGTTCCTATTCGCCCGCAACCCTTCTTGGGAATGGAATCCTATCAACTGGGTACTTTTAGACCAAAATATTTGAGCAACTTTCACTATGCAAGGACTTTGGTCTGCTCCCTTCTTTTCTTTTGAATCACAGGAAATGATTTAATCTCGAACTGGGCCTGACTATTCAGTTGAAGTGAGAGTCTCATCTTATTAGGTCAACAAAACTTAAGACCGATTAGAAATCAAATTCAAATCCTATGGACCAATTAAAAATTAAATTCAAACTTCACTGACAATGAAAGTTTAGTGATCGAATTAAAACTAAATTTAAATCTCAGGGACAAAAAATGATGATCTTTTAAACTCAATGATCAAATAAAAACCAAGTCCAAACTTTATGGATCAAAAGTGTATCTTACCTCAACATTTTTAAAACAATAAAGACTGAATTGAAAAGATTCTCAAACATAAGCAACTAAAACATATATTTACCAAATTTTAAAAACATATAATCTAAAACATCAAGGACCAAAAAGATATTATTCTTCAATTTGGTAAAAGTTTTACATATTAACCTATAGATCAAGATCCATGACGAGGAAATAAGTGACTAATTGCTCTCAATATTCTATAGATCAAGATCCATGACGAGGAAATAAGTGACTAATTGCTCTCAATATTCTTAGGTATCATGCTTAAGACGTTTGGGTACCTTGATGCTTAAATATAATTTACATTTCTAAGAAGGTAAGATTACAATGTCTATTTAATAACCATTGTTAACAGCCTCCTCAGACTACTTAAGGATGAAATAGTGTTGTGTAAATCTTACCATATTATGATTCTTTATAGGTCAAAAAAGTTGAATATTCTATTCTAGATTTTCATTTGATTGAAAATTTTTATTAATAACATCTAAGCATAAATTTACAACTAAATTATCTAAATATCAAACTCGAACTAATACACAAATAAAAAAAATTGTAAATGCTTTGAACAATATCTAGTTTAAGAGAAGGTAGAGGCTATGGTGCTAAAGCTATCAAATTGGAAGAGAGAACATTAATTAACGTCATCACCAAAAAAAGGTGGTTCTCTAGAAATAAAGATTAAGAGAAGATTAGTTTTGGTGATGTCTCGTGCTAGAGTTGGCTAGAAATGAAAGAGAAATAGAATTCAAATGAGAGATTGAATGGAATGAAGAAAGTGATGATAGAGAGTTCTTATTAGAAATTATTTTGAGAGGCTAATTGGGAAGGAATATTTTGAGGATACGATTGAGTTCCTCGACAAAACAACCTGACCAACTACATATACCTCCAAGCTTGAGGAAGAATATGATATCACTAGGGCAATCATTGAAATAAAGCAAGGCCTAATTGCTTGAGCGTCCAAGAACTAATCTTAAGCCAGCTTAAGCTTTTGCTAGGTTGGTTCTCCGCTATTTTCATACATTGTTAGAGAAGAGGTTGAACAAGCCATTTATCAAATGACTACAACTTGTTTATATTGGTTTTAAATTGTTGCTTACCCAAACATCTATTTCACTCCCATCAAGATCAATGATCTAAGGCTTTGCAAGAGATTTTGCTTTATTAGTCGTTGTAACGCAATGTCTTATTAAATGGCTAGAAGGGTTCGTGGATAAATTGAATTCTACATTTGAAAGTACTGGTATAATGAGTTCAATCTTTCTCAAAAATGTCAATTTCTATATCCTTTATCGTAACAAAACTATTGGTACAGTGATTTTATCTTCATGACATAAGCAAAGCCTATGATAAGGTAGAGTTATTCCATGAAAAAAATGAAGAAAATAGATTTTAGCTAAAAAGAGAAGTAGAACGATAAATCTGTTATAATGTAACAATTAAAGTATCAACAACTACCAACCTAAATATAGCTTAATTAATCAAGACATATATCCTTGACTAGACTAAAAGGTCGAGAGTTTGAATCCCTACTACATTTTTTTAACTAAAAAAAAGTGACATCCACGTAAAAATAATAATTTATTGATATAAGAAATAAAAGCAATAATGAAAGGAACTAATACATAAAGGGAAAGTGGGAAACTTTAAAAAATGAATTCACTAATAAAGACAGAAGATAGATAAAGTTTCTCCTCTCATTGCATCATCTTCTCCTCAATTAGGATGCACAAGCATTGCACCAAAAAGTAACAAGCTTCTCCAAACTGAATTATAAAGCTTTGACCATGTCCACAAGGCTAGTTTCCCAGGCCAACAGTGCATTGGGGAATTTTTTGCAAACAGTTTTTAAAAAATTACTTTTGGAGCAATTATTTTGTAAAAATATGTTTGAATAATTTGTTTTCTAAAAGTCTTTTTATTCTAAGAGTGTGTTTTCTCAGATGACCAATTCTTTATGAAAAAAGATTAAAAAAGTGATTTCAATGTGGAAAAAAAATTAATAAAAAGAGAAAATTATTTTGAAACAATCCCTTACCAACAAAGTTCCTTCCAAGCTCTTCTCTTTTTCTCCTTCTTTGACTAATCTCATGAGACAACTATTCCGATCCCATTTGATTGGTAAGAAGCTTGTAAGATTTTAATATCTTAAGTAGGTGTCCACCGAGAGATTTAACCCACTCCAAAGTCTCTTTTACCATTTGAACACATTCCGAGCTCCTCTTTGCGTAGATAATCCTTTTATCTACATCGTTGTTCTACTTTGTGAGTTAACTGAACTGCCAAATATCCACTGAAAGAAGACAGACAAGTTTTCATCTGGCAACATATCATCTTCATCTATTTTGAGAATCCTTTAAGGCTTTATCGGATTCACCGACTAAAGAAGCCTAATATGCACAATCCACTACATGTTATTTGTCATTGGGTTTGGTTCCGTGAGAGCTTTTTATCTTCGCATTTTGAAAAGAATTAGCGAACCTCATCTTTGACGTCTGAAGAAAATCTTCTGCTCTTCCATTTTTACGATGCCCTTCCAGAAAGAATGCTGTATGTTATGCCATCTGAAGTTACCTATTCGACAACATATCACCATCACCTCTTTTGACGGTCCTTTAAGGATTTATCGTATTCACCAACTAAAGAAGTATAATACGCATAATCGACAACAAGTCCTTTCTCATTTCGGAGTTTAATGGAATCCTCTGCTTTTCCATTTTTACAATGCCCTTCCAAAAGAATATTGTATGTAATATCATCTGGAGTTACTCCTAAATTAAGCATTGCTTCCAATAGCATATTTGCATTCTTCATCTGCCCTTGCTTGCACAATCCATTCATAAGCACATTGTAAGTTATGACACCAGGATTATGGCCATTTCTCTGCATCTCTTTCAGCAGCTTAAACCCCATCTTAACATCACCCTTCTTACAATACTCGTCGATCACCATGGTATACGTGGCATCGTCAGGTTTCATACCAGCTTCCATCATCTCCCTCAAGGTTCTCTCGGCATCAATCACCCTTCCATCTCTACACAAACCTGAAATAAGGGCTGTGAAAGCTACATCATCAAGCACAACCCCTTCTTCGTTCATTCCTTTTCTAATCTCCATAGCTGACTCTAGATCTCCCTCTTTGCAGTAACCATCTATGAGTGTAGTGTAAGTGATTTTATCAGGTTTCATCCCCACCATTTTCATTTCACCAATTAGCTTCCTAGCTTTACTAACATCTCCAACCTTGCAAAGGCCATTTAAGAGTGTGTTGTACATAACCAAATCAGGTTTCACTCCCATGGTTAACATTTGCTGATAAGTGTTCATGGCTGAGTCAATTTGCCCGCTCCTACATTGCCCGTTGATCAAAGTGGTGAAAGTGACATCATTTGGCTTCAATCCTCTCTGCTGCATTTCATCAAACAGTTGTTCTGCATCATATAGCCTGCCTTCTTTGCATAACCCATGAATCAGAACACTGTAGGTGAAAACATCAGGATATATTCTATTTTCTTCCATAATCTTCTTCAACCTAAAACCCTCATCTAAATTTTGGGACTTACAGAGCCCATTAATCAAGGTATTGAAGCTAACAGTTGTGGGACGTAAACCCCTCTTCCCAATTTCAAAGAAAATCAACCTGGCATCTCTAATATTACCCTCTTTACAGAACTTATTGATCAAAATGTTGAAGTATTTTACATTAGGCGGGAATCCAGAATCCATAATTTCCGAATAAAACGTCCAAATCGACACAGTGGAGTTCGAGTTCATCATTTTATCAAGCAAGTAACCACAACCACGGGACGGGATTTGAAAATTATACTTCCTAACTAACCTAAAACACTGAATCGCATCGGAAACGAACCCGGAATCCGCATACGCAATCATCAAAGCATCAAACACCAAATTCGAAGAGCGCGTACCTGCAACTTCGAGAATCGCGGCAAAGATCGAAGACGCTGAGTCTTTCCCTTTGCGGGAGACGAGGAATCGAACGATCGAATGAGATTCCGCGAACATTCGGTGGGCGCAGAGGAAGTGAGCCATCGCGCAGTAGGATTGGACGGTGTGGCGAAAGGTGGGCTGAGAGGAGAGCCAGTTGAAGAAGGAGAAGAGAGAGAGAGGGTGGAGAGAGAACGGGTTGTGGTTGAGGAGATTGACCACATGGTGGGCTCTGAGGGAAGGGAGGAGCCGCCGGAGAGAAGAGGCGAGAGGCTTTGTTTGGGCGTTGTTGATGGCTGTGGAGACGGCGGCGAGAAGATCGTCGGTGTGAGGCGGCGACGGCGGCGGCGGCGAGTACCAGGTGGAGTATCGGAAGGAAGATTTGGGAGGAAGACGAGAGAGGGAATCGGAGAGTTTGAATTTGGGACTGCCCATTACACAAACAAATTCTTTTTCGCTGAGAATGCTTTTCCTTTTCTCTCACTTTCAAATTTCTCACTTTTCTTTCTGAATTCGGTCAAAAAAAAAAATAAAATCCCTTTCCTTTTTTTTTTGTAATATGATTATCCTCGTGTATTGATCCTGCAGTTATGGAAGAATGAATTCAAACCATAGCGATAAACGGATCGAAATACTCACAGATATCAAAACATATCTATATATATTTAGTTGTTGAAGAAATCTTCAAAACTGGTGAAGGATTCGACAAAATCATACTAGGTGATTTTATATGAAAGCTCGATCAAACTTAGGCATGACAAAAGTGCAACTTAAAATAGGTTTTCGAATATTCAAATAAGTTGAGCTTTTATAATTCAGGCTAAAGGTTAAAAACGAATGTGTATCAACTCAAACAATTCCGAATTGATTGATTAAACATTATATTATCTTGTATGTAGTCTACTTTTGTTAGTGCAGTGGATTTACATGCAAATAAAATTCATCAATATCTCTAGTTCCAAGTCAATCATAGCTCATACAAGGTATCAAGTTTCTGTGGATATTTTCATGTCCATAGGTACAAAATTGAAATGAAAGATAAAAGCAACATTTCCATAATATCACACAATATATAACTAATATAGACATAATATTAATATTAATAATTTTTAACTCATTTAGAAATTGTTAAATACTCATTTATATTTCCATCGATGTTTTCCTGAAATTGACTTCAACATTTTCATCGATATCGACATCTAAAACTTCAAGGACAACATGACTAAATATTATACAATGTTTAATGAGAAGACATCAATGAAGGAAAAGAAAAAGAACTGCCAAAAGCAGCAGCTCTTATTGCAATAAGGCTAAGCCAATATGAAAAAGAACATAGACCAAAATAAATCATCAAGAAAGATAAGACAAGTTAGTAGGGAACCTTTTCACCATGTTGCTGCTTTTGATGAGGGAAGCCATAGCAATGTTCCAGTACTGAACTCTGAAGAAGCAACAAGGTTTCAACTTTTTCGTTTTCTGTAGGGAGACAATTCGACCTCAAGGCGACTGATTTCGTCTTGCAGATCTTGCAAACTGATTCTTCTTGCTTGCCCAATTGTTTTGTCGTCACGAACCAGGCTCGAGAGATGCTTCAAACATGCACAGTACTCGGCCTTCACTTCGGGGGTCTCGAAAATTGAACCTTTGAACTGCATGAGCATTATTATTCAAAATTTGTTTAATCACTAAAGTACTGACGTATATCATGTATCACTTTGATATTGTATGGTTACTTCAGTACAAGCTATACTTCAAAATTGAGAAAGTTTAAGATCGGTGTTAAATATTATTTAGGAAAGTTTGGTTTTCTAATATTTAGCTAGTGAAGTTTTTAAGTAATGTTTTTTTTTTTCTTATTTTTTGTTTTTCATTTCTAGTTTATTATTTCTCGTTCTCTCTTTTTCAATCAAGAAAAAGATAACAATGTTTAGTAACTATTTTTTGTTTCTTTTTTTTTTCTTTTTTGAGAAAGTACCATAAACATGTTAGGTAACAATTTTTTCATTCTTGTTATCTAAAATTTTGGATTCAAAAACGTAAAATTTTTATATATAAATTTTAAATTTTAAATTTTAAAATTAAATATTCAAAATTTTTTATGTTATATTTATTTTTTATATTTATTATTCGTTTCAAAAATAAAAAAAAGGAAAATATTTAGGCGCCCACTAAGGTTACCAAACATCACTAAAGTGGTGCCTCCTATTTAGGCGCCCACTACCCCACTAACGGGTGGTTACAAAACCGCCCACTAAGGTGGGTTATCCAACCACCCACTAATAAGCACAATGAGAACACAAATCTAGTTGAATCCTAAAGAAAATGCAAGTAAACTAATGAGCACAAACACTTCAACTTAGGTAACAGTAACGTGTTCTCGAACAAGTATCAGACACTTGCTAGCTCAATAGATATGTGTCATACACTAGTTGTACAAAGTGAGTATGGATCTGACACTTATTAGATCAAACACTTGTTAAGCATAAAAAATAATAAATAGACATAAATAGTAATATAGGATAAAAAAATAATAGATGTGTGTCGAACAAGTATCAAACACTTGCTAAGCTCAATAGATGTGTGTCATACACTAGTTGTACAAAGTAAATATAGATCTGACACTTATTAGGTCAAACACTTGTTGTAACGTGTTCTCAAACATGTATCAAATACTTGTTAGCTCAATAAATGTATGTCACACACTAGTTGTACAAAATGAATATGGATTGACACTTGTTAGGTCAAAATATTGTTAAGCATACAAAATAATAAATAGACATAAATAGTAATATAGGATAAAATAATAAATTTTGAGAGCAAAATAAATCAAGCTCATTTTTTAAACATAAAAATGCATAAACTTATTGACTTTGAATTTCCTTCTTGTATAAAAATTGATATATACTAAATAGAATTGTATATTTTAATAAATGTATCATTGTCGTGTCTATGTCCTAGATGTTTAGAAAATGATCATGTCTGTGTCGTATCATATCCATGTCTTGTCCCCATAGTTAGTCTTAATTATGTAAACAACATCTTTTAAGCAAAATTCAAAATTAGTATCACCCTGAGTTGTCCTAAAAGGCAGATGCATGTCATGTTGTCATTGATATCAAGCTTAAGGCATAGCAAAAAGGAAATATCATTAGACCATCTTACCTTTTGATAAGCAGAAATGCATTCAAAGAGTACATTCTCGGCCAGAATGAGCGAAGGATCCTCCTGTAACATCAACAACAGTCCAGTTGTTCAAAAGTTGGTAGTAGATAGAATGCCCCTGGTATAGGGGAGTAAAGTTTCGACAGTTAAAAAAAAGGGAAAAAAAAGTTGGTAGTAGAAGAGCCTGGAATTATATTGGTAAATTTTAATACAACAAAAAGGGACTATTGTTGCTTGTTGGATGTGTCCACTGATCCAAAATGAATTTGATAAAACTAAAAAAGTTCCTTGTTTCTAGTAGGCCCCCAACGAAGAAAGTGTATTCAAGAAAGAGAGGAAGAGAGTAAGAGAGGAAGAGAGTAAGAGAGGAAGAGAGGGTAGGGTGGAAGGAAATAGGACATGTGTTAGTGGGCACCCAGGTGCCTTTTTGTCATTTGTCTAGGACTGTATGGGAGAGATTCGAGAACTCTCTAATTCTTCCTTTGCCCTCTATAATGCCCTTCGAATATTAATAGTAGATTCTATCACTTTTGTCTTTTCTCTCTCCTCCATCTGTGCTTATTCTCCTAGTTTTTAGTCTTTCAAAAGCAGTCACTTCGATTTTTATTCTTTTACTTCCATGGTTTTCAGGATTCAACTCGATGCCTATGATATTTTATGAAAGATCAACTGGACTGACCAAGTCTACAACGGTGTGAACTCAGTTGGATGGCTGTTCTACAAAACTCCATCTTGTACTACACACCTTCTTCAAGATGAGTACAACTCAGCAATTGGGTCCAATATTAGCTAAGACATAATCCGAGCTAAAAGAGAGTAAAACAATTATCTGTATCTCAACTATTTTACAAATTGTACATACTAATTCAATTCAAAAGTGAATTTATGATTGTAGGGTCAGATTGTTGAACCTATAATATTAGTCATGTGAGTAAGTAGCCCGAACGCTCACAGATATAACCATACCCACTACTACTGCAGTTCAGAGGCAATTGTATGATTCAGACACTATCACTTATTTAAGCCATCACTGCTAACCTTTGATCCTTGCATCTCTTGCAAGGTAATCTCCAGATGCCCGAGAGAATCAAGTGATTGTAACTGCAAACACAATATAGATAGGTCCAACTGACATGAGTAAATTCCTACCCAAACAATCAAATTTGTTCTTTATATCAATAACCAACATTAAAAAAACTTTGTTCATTCAAATTTTGATTTGAAACTAATGATTTATAGTTTTACTTCATTTTCATTTTGTTCAAACCAATCTTGGCATTTCAATTTCATGAGCTCCATTCTTTGTTTCCTTTCAAAAAGGAAAAACTTCAATATCAGGAGTTTGAGTAACTCGATTAGTTTAAATATATCTGGCTCTAATTCTTAATATCAATAACTATTAACCAACAAAGTTATTATATTCAGATTATGATTTTTAGAATAATTATTCACATTCTCATTCATTTCATTTTGGTTGTTCATTTGAATAAATTCACATTTAATGAATGACGAAATCTAAAATAGTTGTTGAGCTCAAAACTCCAAGCCTATTGGCAGTGCCATGTAATGGCCTTGATGCTTAAAAGCTCATGAATTGATTGAATTACTATTGAGTAATACGTAGCCAAAAACATTCAGGTAATAGTTATATTTAAGGAAAACAAATTTAACAGGGGAAAAAACTAGCCTTTAGAATGATTTAAGTTATATAGGGCAAAATTATAACATCTTAAGATTGGAATCAAGTAGTAAATTGGGAAAGAATTTAAAAACAACGAAACTTCATTTCTTGATTGTAAAGAAAGGAAAACCAACCAATATTAAAAGTGCCGTACGCCCATCCTTTCTAGTTTCTCCATCCTCATGGATTTTTTTCTTCTCCCCGTACTTGCTTATTTTATCTAATACTCCTCGTGATATCCTATCACAAAGAGATAATAGAGATAATTGCATAAGCTGATTGTAATATAATTTATACCCAGCTGAACTACAGTGATTTTAAGTCAATCTAGGTTAATTATCCTTAATTTTTTCACAAAGAATATTAAATGTAACCTGAATTATCTTATACAACATTTCAAAGTGAAGCGCGAGTACATGTACATATACATATTGCATATATTCTTGTATCCAATATTCAGTCACTATTAGATAAAAATACACATGGAACTTTATCTACAATTGCGAGAAAATAGTGGGGAAGGATTTTGAAAAACCCTATTAAACCTATGAAGCTAACTAGATCAATGGTCTTTAATTCTATGTTTTAGAAGATAAAATTCAGGAAGCTGGAAGGGCTTTTATACTAGTAACCTTTTAAATGATATGATTTCCCAATTTCACCTATGTTGTTCCCCCTATCCCATCAAGTAGAAGATTATTTCCAGTCTCGAGTGTAAATGTTTAAGTATTACTGGTCTTACTTCTTCCCATATTAGCCAGTCTACACTTCTTGCTCCTCGTCACCAGGGCAGATGGTTTGTCACATATACATGACCACATGTTTAATCAACTCTAACAAATAGCTTGACACAGTTAATCTCTTAGAACGTCCGCTAGATGTCTGGATTTATTTTCCAACCAATCATTGCATTTCTAAAATCAATAATGGCATTGAGTACTCGATATCGTCTTTTTTTTTTTTTTTTGTTCAGGAGACCAAGTTAAGTTTCAAAGGGTGGTTTTCACCATTTTTATTCCTTTCATGAAGATCTTAAGTTTGAAGACTGACCTTGGGAAATCCATTTCTTTATAATGCTAAAGAAACTTTGGTTGAGTATTTCTCTTACAACCTTAACAATTAAACATAGAATTCAGTGATGGTTAATATGAATATGAATAGTTTTGGAAGATATCATATCCCCATGGATTGTAGACTCATGAATATACAGATTTATTCAATTTTGGTTCTAAATATTTATTTCCTTTGCCATTTTCTAATTTTTGTAAATAAGTTGTTTTCTTCTTGGAATTTAGCCTATGCACGTGACCTTTAGAGCAGCCCTTTGAACTATGATAGAAAACTAAACAAACCTTATTGAACTTTTAAGAAGTTCTCTAGCTTTATCAAGAGCAATAACTGCTTTAGAAATATCAATCTCCTTCAGTTCATTGGAACTTAGCATTAACACTCGAGCAATGTGAAGCATGTTAGCACCAATCTGCACCACATTAGTAGATATGGAGTTAGGGGAAGTGGAAAGTGCCATATAATTAATTAATCCATCATGTGACACAATCATAAAAGAGGAGCAGATGTATCATACAAAACCAGAAAATAAAATACCACAACTAAATATTTTGACATGTCTCAAAGAAACAATTTGTTGACCATACTCCACATCAGAAGTAAACATAACAATCTAATTATTCTATGATGGATACTTTGAATATTCTTGGGTCTTCCACTGGAGATTTGGATAGTTTCATACCTTCAGTGGTTAGCAGGTGTTACATACAGAGTTTTTGTTTCATTTTATTTTTATCAAAAAACCAAGCTTTCATAAAGAAAAATAATAAAAATAAAAAAGAGCTTAAAGAACAATCGCCCAAAAAAATAATCAAATAATAACAAACCTAACCAGACAAAAAAAAAAGCATCAATCCAAAAAAATAAGGCTTAGAGGATAAATTACAAAAATCCTTAGTCACAGACACCCAAAGAGAGGCATTAAACTTGGCAAGAGTCTTTCCAATACCTCTAACCTCTCGAACCGTCTTTAAAGTTCTTCTGTCCCTCTCAAGTCAAAGGCTCCATGAAACAAGAAGAAGAAGAAGATAGGGAAAAAAAGCATGCAAAAGAACATAAAGTTTTAATCCAAAATTTTATTTTCAACATGGATATAGGATGTCTAGGATGAGAGTTTCCTTCCTTTTTTAGTTACCATGCAATAATAATAGTTCAAACTATTCTTCAAATACTTGGATCCTTTTTTCCTTTTTTGAAAAAGAAACAACTTCACATTGATTAATGGAAAGGAAAAAAGTTCAAATGATGAAAACAAGAAAGAGCCAGCCAAGGAGGAGCACCATGAGAGAAACTGCAGACCTTCAAAAACAAACAGCCAGTCTTGAAACACCAAAGTACTTCAAAAACTTCTTCGATGAAGCGAAAACCGAAGTTGTTTAATCTTTTAGAGCGAGTTTATTCAAAATGAGGCCATGAGAACTATGTCAACCTTCGAAACATTCAGAGGAACATATGAGCCAGCGATAATTTAGAAAAACCAAGATCTACATCCCAGAAAAATAGAAGAGGCACTTCCAAAAAACTCTTCAAACAAGGATAACCACGAGGAGACGCTGCACAAAATCCAAAGCTAAAAAAAGACACTCCTTGACAACTTAGGAATGCTTCAAAGAACAGCCAAAAATTAATAAGGATGCAAGTATGCACTAAAATTATCTCTCACATACCTCAATCAGGATGCAAGTATTCAAAAACCTCAATCATTTCTCTCACATACATAACAAAAATGCATTAAAAAAATAGAAAAAATTTAAAATTAATTACATCCTCGGAATTCAATATGATAGTTAAAATTTGAAAACCTGAATGTGGCCCTCCGGAAGTATAGTCTTCCGTGCATCAAGACACCTGAAAGTAATGACTTCATTAGGAAAAACTTTTTTTTAATCAATTGACTAAGACCAGTTTACCTTTCAAGAAGCTCTTGTGCTTCCTTCAAGCATCCATTGGCATACAACGTTGAGGCTAAGCCATCAGCAGAATTTATAGTATCCAAAGAATTCCATCCCTACATCAATAAGAGATATTAAACATTGTCAATTAACCAAATGAGCACACACGTATACACCAGAAAAAAAGAAAAACAAAAAACTCATAGAGGTTAAAAGAAATATTGTTATTTATTAAACAACTGCTAAGTCTTTCGATCAACCAAAAACTAAAGTCCCAGTTTACTTGTTTTATGTATTCATAAACTACCTAAGAACTTAATATGTATGAAGTAAGGACACTTTGCTCTGGAAAATGTATCCGTGTCCAACATAAATGGTATGCCTAAAGACTAAGAATATTATATTGAAATTAAAATTTGAATAAGAAATGTTATAGTATGATATGGATGTAAATTGAAGTTGATTATTCTCTTATTGTAATTCTATACTCTATTAGTTTAGGGTTACATGTATGCCTAATATATGTAACTCTAGTGTATGAATGATATGAAATATTCCTCTCATAATTTTATCACTCACAAGCTTTTTGTGACCTGTTAGAATTTTGTGGGCCCTTAGGATTTTTATAGTCATTAGAGTTTGAAGAGTACTTCATAGAAGGATGACTGCCAGTAGATCTACAAAACCCTAAAGTCCGACTACCAGATCAACCACACCTTCGCCCTTTGTCTCATGTCTCGGTTCGGTAGGGTGTGTGATTGGCTGGAGTTTTCTCCAACCATCATGGTTAAAATCCCCTGATAATCCACAAATTATTTGTGTGCTTATTTTTTTCATAATTTGCTCACATTTGGAAATATTTTGAAGAAAAAAAGGAAAAAGAAAAAAAGTTGGAGATATTTGGAAATATTTCAATCAAATTTTGTGTATATCTTTTTTGTGGAATTGCCTAACGAAACTCGTGGTGATATCTCATTTGGTTCACTTAGGACTTTTTTATTTGGTTCACTTAGGACTTTTTTTAACAATCAAAGACAAGACATGGAGCATGTCACTACTATCATAAGCTTGGCCATATAAAAACATGATGGTAAGATTAAAGGCAGTATCAAAGCAACCGATCCGGCCCTCAATTTCCAAAAAAAAAAAAAAAAGTCTTTAGGATCCATAAGTTAGACGAGGTTCCAACTTACTAGTAGAGGCAGAAGCTTCATCTTCTTCAAATCAGGCCTTAGACCAACGAAGTTGGTAGAAGCTATGGTAGAACCGATCAAAGGTGAAATGAATGAAATTCAGCCCTTGATTGGAAACCTTACCCAATAAAATGGGATTAAATGTCCATCAACAAGGCAAGAGAAACAGGAAAAGTTTGAGCCCTTTAAGAAAACCAAGATCATGCTATTCCTCCAAGACAACAAGAAAATCTGGCAATGGAAGGCTGCAAGAACATCAAATCCCAAGATTCATGAATTCCTCAAGCGAAGATGACTTCTTTCGAGAAGATCCTCAAATTCAGGACGTTAGGCAAGTAGAAGACAACAACCAATTGGAGACACTTCAAAAAATTCAAGATGAAGGTGGTTCTCCAAAGCTTTCTTGATCGGATCAAGAATCTAGTGAATTTTTTGAATATATGACTGCTCCGAACAACAAGAAAGTTAAACTTGTGGCTTTTAGACTTAAAGAGTGGAGCTTCCGCTTGGTGGTAGAAATTACAAAATAATCAGCTAATTAAGAACAAATCTTCTATAACTAATACCAAAATTGCACCCCTTAAGAGCTCGAAATAATCTAGTAGAAAATGAATAACAACAAATTTCAAGATTTGTCTGTGGACTTCGAGACAACATCAAGAGGATTGTAAATCCCCATCCTTTTATGTTACCTTTTCAATGCTGTCACGTTGGCAACCAAAATTGAGGAACAAGAAGATGAAAAGATCAATAGAGGAAGTGGTCGTCAAAGATAATCGGGAAAGACCACTCCAAACTTACAGAAATAACACTAGTGATGGCCAAAAAACATCTCAACCAAGGAGTTCTTCCAATCAAAATCAAAAGGAAAAGCCCACACCTAAAACCACGGTACCTACAAAAGGTTTGGAAAGTAATTCCTCCCGGAAAATTTCTAATCTTGGTAAATGTTTTATATGTGGACAGCTAGTTCACCTTTCAAATGAGTGCCCACATCAAAGAACACTAGCTATCCAAGAACAAAATTAGGATGACATTGATTATGCTAACGGATCCTAAGAAGGTTTATACTCAACCAAATGATGGAGAACAATTGTCGTATGTCCTCCAAGTTGCCCTCACACCTAAAACCAAGTCCCATTCTCAATGCCACCATTTTTCAAACTCATTGCACCATTATCAGTAAGATATGTCAAGTTACTGCTGATAATGGGGGTAGTCAGAACATAATGTCCAAAAACCTTATTTCAACTCTAAATCTAAAGGTTGATCCACATCTGAACCCATATTAAGTTAGTTGGATCAGAGAAGGAGGGAAACCCAAGTAAATGAATTTTTTACCATCCCTTTATGAATAAGAAATAACAACAAAAATCAAATTATTTGTGATGCTGGATGCTTGCCACGTCCTTTCAGGAAGGCTAAGCGAAATACTTATGAAATTAGTTGGATGGGTAAAAAAATTGTGCTCCTTCCCTTAAGGAAAACTAGAGGACAAGAAACCAATTAAAGAAAATCCAAACCGTAAAAAACAGCTCTTCACTATCACACATGGGTTGGACATGCTTAAGGAAAAGGAATCCTCATTCTTGCTCTAATAATAAAATGAGGCATCAAATACTGTTCCAACCGAAATTGATGTTTTTTAAAAGAGATCGAGGTTTATTGAAAAACATGAAAGGAAATACAAGGGGCATAAAAAAACAAGCCCACCAAAAGAGGATCCAAACCCCCATCTAAAAGAATAACAACTAACTGGTAATTACAAAATGCTTTAGAAACTAACACATATAAAGGGGCATTAAATATAACTAAATCCCAAACAAACTCCCAAGGCCTCTCCACCCTCGAAAAATTCTACTATTCCTCTCCATCCAAATACCTCATAAAATAGCAAAAAAAAAAAAAAAAAAAAAAAAATCTGCCACATCAGGGGGATGCATCAGGGCTCCTTTACCCCAAAAAGGGGGATAAAGGCAACACTTCCTCCACCATAGCCCTACGCTCCCTTTTACAAGCCAAGGATGCCCAAAGGCCCCTAAGAACCAACCCCAAATAGACTGGGCAGCTTCCCAAAATATGATCGAGATCCTCAGAAGCACTTTTTCAAAGGACACACCACTAAAAACCCAACACCAAGGAAGAACGTCTCTGAATATGATCCATGGTATAAACTTTTCCATATAAAACCTGCCAAGCAAAGAACATAATCTTCTTTAAAATTTTGACCTTCCAAAGCAGGCGAACAACGAGGCATTAGGGGAAATCGACGAGACACTCAAAAGATTAAAGAAAGATCTACAAGTGAGACCCAATGAAGGACCAGGGGATCAAAAGCGAAAGTCCTTCCTCCCCTGAATCAAGCGAACCTCCCCAAGGGACACAATCAACTCAGTGAAACTGATGTTGAATTGAAATTAAGCAAACCTCTACTCTATAGTTTCCAAGGCCTTAAAAACTAACGCCTAACTATTTAAATGACTAGTCAAATCATTTGGCTTATCCAATATGTCAAGCACCTCTTGCGTCTTATGAACCAGTTTAAAGGTTGAATAGATGGTTGATCGTATTCAAGAACTACACAACAAGGTCCATGAACACCTACCAAGTACAAACATGTGGACGGATGTTCACAAGCCTGCAAAGTCCTTTAAAATCAGTGACTTGGCGATGATTCATTTGCGAAAATCAAGATTACCAATAAGATCACATAACAAATTAACCAATAAGAAATATGGTCCTTTGAATGTTCTTGGCAAGATTAGTGCAAATGCCTACCAGATTGATCTACCCTCCTCTCTCCACATCAATTCTACCTTCAATGTGGCAGATCTATATAATTATCATGCCCTAGATTCCTTCTCATGGCTACATAAAGCTCAAGGACGAGTTTATTTCAAAGGGAGAGATATTGATGTTGGAGTTTTTATTAAAACTAGCTGCTTCTTTATTTAAAAGGCCTTACAGCCATTGGAATTATATTAGCTGTTGAAGGCTTTAAGAAGTAGTTAGTTAGTTATTTGGTTAGGTGTTAGTTTTGTTGGCCTATTATAAATAGGGTACATTACTTGTATGTGAGACACTTTTTAACATCAATAAAATTTCCAGCAACTTGTTTACCTACATTAATAAAATTTCCAGCAACTTGTTTACATCACAGAAAGAGAGAGAAAACGACTGGCACATACTCAACATTAAAAACAACATTACAGGAGCACTACATCCAGAGAAATAAACTAAAGCATAAACAAACACACAAAAATGTTTCAAGATGAACCTTTGATAATTCCATAATGTGTAAAATTTTTCTTTGTACATTCTCAGCCTCCAAAAGATGATTAGACTTCAAATGTATCTGGAGCATCATGAAAATAACAAAAAGATTAACTGCAGCTTAAGTAGAACTATAGAATGTGTTTAAGGGAAAAAGAAATGGAAGAGGAAAATGTACAAGTTAAAACTAACAAGCTCACAATCACATATTCATTTATAATCATATATTGAACCAAAACAATCATAAACTAAAATGCAGAAATCTCATGTTACTGCCAAATAACATTCTCGCATATGCTTTAGTTGCCTCAAGTTTCCTTCTTGAAGCAGTTGCCTACAGCAGAGAAGGGGAAGCTGTTTGATTTTCTTCCATATTAGTAGTAAATATTAGTTTTTATATTTCTGATAATAGTTGTGTTATCTATATTTTCAGTCCTTTTCTTATTTGTATCGGTCTTTCTCCTTTCTACAAGGACCTTAAACCTTCAATATATAACAAATACTATATTATGTTCTTCACAAAAGTAAGTCATTATAGAAAAATTACAGCTGCCAAAAAAACCTGTAGTTGTTAGAAACCCTGACAACTATAACCCTAGTTGCCATTCTTCCTAGTGCACCTTACTTTGAAAAATCAAGCTGAGAAAAATAGAAGAATATAAATGGCATATAAAAAGATAGCCAACCCAAACTGAACCAACAATGCAAGAAAGGGCTTCAATCCAAAAACCTTGCGATTAATGATAAAAATCCTCAAAAAAATGACCCTCGAAAAAAAGCATTGAACTTAGCAAGAGACCAAACCTCTTCTAAGACCTCTTAATCCCTCTAAAAAAATCTATTATCCTTATCAATTCAAAGGCTCCACAATGCAGTGAACAACCAACCTACCACAAGATCTAGCCCTTATCACGAAATGGTAGGTGTCAAAGGACCTCTTCCATGATAGATTCATAGAACAAGTTTCAAGCCAAACAAACACCAAACAACATTAAAAGGAAATCCCAGTCTAAACGTGCAAATGGATGGAAAAGACATGATCAAGGTCTTCTTACACAACCCTACAACTGCAGCTCCAACAGAAAGGACAAATGTTTCAAGATACAGTTCTCAAAGTGTTAACTCTCCTTTGCAAAAACTATCAAGAAAAGAACTTTACCTTCTTGGAGCATTGATCATCCACAACAAGGAGAAAGAGAGGCAATTAATTGGGGAAGGATCGCATAAAAGAAGGAAAAAAATATTTACAAGAAAACTCCTGCAAATAATTGGAGCCCAGTAGTAAATATCTCCTCTCCAAACTAACAAAAATATTCTTGTATCTCCCTATCTAACAAATAACAGAGGAAAAAAGGAAAAAACAACGCATAATTACCTAAAAAACGTAAAACAAAATCCATAGAGCATAAACTCGTAGAGATGGTACGAGCGAATGAGCACAATACAAATAGGACTATCGTCCAACACTTCACAAATTGAAAGAATAATGGAAACCAGAAGATATATCTTTCTAAGGGTTTCTACATGTGCCTTTCAACCCACACCCCTAATCCTAGTCATTCGCAACCACTCGTCACCACTCATTTCTTAGTTTGTAGTTTTCCAGCAAATGACCATAACCTTATTTCCATTTGACTGCTCTTAGATGTATTGTTGTTCTCCATCATCCATTACCAATGTTTTCTAAAGCTCAAGCGCAATAGTACTTGGGAGCTTAAGCGCGACACGCAAAAAAAAAAACACGAACCTTTTTTCGCGAGGCACGCTATATATAAAAATACAACAATATATATATAGTGATGTTTGGGATGCTTCTTAAATTATTACACGTCTAATGTTTATCCATCCTAGCAAAGGAAGTAGGTTACGAAGTAATAAAAGGGCCAATGTTAGATACACCAAGAGGGAATAAAATCAGGAAGTTCATAGATTAATATAGGATTAAGGATAACCTTAGCAAGATATCGCAATCTTCTAATGCAGAGAATTGACTCGCCTAAGCCACCTTCCTACATAACCAAACAATACCAGGTTGTGAGACATGTAATAAAATAAATATGATATAATACAAGACGCACCTTCCTTGCAATTCATATTGATATTACCTCCAATATCCTTACAGAATCTTGGATCAGGGCTTCAGAATCTTTTTCCTTCCCTAGAAGGTATAGCACCTGCAGGAGAGTATATAATATTTTATTGTAAGTATCATTACTATCAAATCAACATTGAACCAACATAACTTGGTCGTGTCAAACCATCTGGCTTCATTTACTATGTATATTTTAGGAAATTAAATGTTATAAATCTTGTAGATCTGTTACCAACTATAGGCTTATATATATATAGGTATATCTCCTCTACAAATTGTTTCCCTGTCAGAAATTCCTTTTTTAGAAAACCTTTTTGAGATTTCCTGGTTGCCTCAGGGCATAAACATTTATTATATCTATTTCCCTTTCTTTCTAGGATCAAAAATCCTATATTTTATACATCTATACAATTGGGTTTCGGAAATAGTGTAAAAAGAGGGGCTTCAAATCATTACTATTTGACTCAGACTTGTTATAAAAAGGTCAAGGCATTTTGAATTGTTTGTTGGCACGTAAAAAGTCAAGGAAAACTCTGAAATTATTTCAATATTGGACCTTATATAAATGTAATATGCTTCCAAAATTTTTCAGGTTGAAATAATGAAGCAAGAGGATTGAATAAGACTAATGTTTCACTTGATCAGCAAGTGTTATTGAACCTCCAATTGGGCACACCAGAAATAACTCAATATAATCAAGTTCGGCAAGGAATAGAACCAATCACACTAGGATCATTCACTAGCAAAGTGAAAGGGAAAGTTGGAACGAGGTGAACAGATCACCTTGCTCAAGGCTCCCAGAACCCATCAATTTGCTCCTAGTTCTAGGTCTACCATTAACTAAGAACCAAAACTTTGAAGAACTTCAGACAATTAAAAACCATTTGATCATGATTTTTATATTTAGTACGAATAATTCATAATAATAAATATATATATATATATATATACACACATATATGTATGTATAGATATATATATGTATGTATGTATAGATATATATATGTATGTATGTATAGATATAGATATGTATGTATGTATAGATATACATATGTATGTATATATCTATATACATATGTATGTATATATCTATATACATATGTATGTATCTATATAAAGAACAAGAAAAGAAGCCTGGCAACAACTTCCATAATCATAATATTTTTCCATGGTCGTTGATGCATTTGGTGCGTTGTTAAGAAATATTAGGTGCAAACTAATTGAAGGGTGTAGGAATTTCATTTTTATCCTCAGACCCTCATACGTCAATCAAAGCTCTTAATAATTGTTTGAACTTATTTGATTATGAATCTGTCCATACTCCATGTCAACGTAAACTATTTAAAAAGATGCAAACTAATAGGATAAAGAAAGGATCTTAGAGGGTACTGTTCCAAGATGGTACATAGTATCTGCATAATCCATATGGCCATGTCCTAGAACACGACCTTTGATCTGAAGGATAAAAATTCACGAGTGAGATGATAAAACAGCAGTTTTTTATTGAGTGTAGATGCCCAGCCTCATACCTTCAGTGCCCGCTGTCCAATGAGTCATAAAACATAAACCAGAAGGGAAAAAAAATGTTAGCATGAATTAGCACATCAAAGAATCGGTAAACGAAAATATGCAACAACAAAAAAATCATTCGAGACTAGGCTTTGGAAATAATTTGTACATAATATATTAGTATTTAAAGTAAGAATTGATAAAAGGAGTTTCAAACATCAACCAACTATCAAGAATTACGTGTCAAATTTACTAATGCAAAAAAATATTACGATTCACAAGACCAAAAAATGCTTACAGAGCTAGTGCATTTTTTTTTTAATAAGAAACTACACTTTCTTTCTTTTTTTATAAGAAACTTTCATAATATTATAACTTTTTGATAAGAAACTTTCATAAAATATTATAACCAAAAGAAAGGGGAACAAGCTAGGGGCTGGGTAGAGGGAACCCCACCCAGAAAAAACTAGACAAACGCTTTCCTCATGCTCAAAAACAGGGAAAGGTTAGTTACAAAAGAATTTCCTATGGTTAATACACCACCAAGAAGCATTATGCTGTACATTGCTACAAAAAATGTCAAAAGGAAAAGATCTATCCTCGAAGACCCGAGCATTCCTTTCTAGCCATAACTGCCATAAGAGAGCTCTAGAGGTACACCTCCACACCATTTTAACCTTTTTAGGGAGCCCCCAGCCTTGTAGGGCTTCTGAAAGCCATTCATCAATCTGCTTTGGAAGACAAATAGAGATGTCGAAAAGGTTGAAAATGGCATGCCAGTTCCTTGACGCAAAAGGGCAGTGGATAAAAAGATGGTCTATATCCTCACCACTATTCTAACACAGGCAGCACACAGAAGGGGAAAACAAACCATTTCTGCACTTCTTTTCAAGCAAGTCATGCGTGTTTAGTCTTCTATGCGCTAGTGACCATAAAAAAACTTTAACCTTCTTGGGAACTTTAAACTTCCATATCGAAGTGATGAGGGGAGAGTTTAGGGAAGGAGTGCATTCCACCATTTTCAGGCGCGCCGAACAGGTAGTGAATTGCCCTCCTTTGCTGAGAAATGAAAAATAGATACAAAAAACAAGGAGGACATACAAATACAGAGGTAGTGAAAATTCCAATTCATAGCCATTGCTAAGTTAGGCAACACATCCTAAACGTTCCAATCTTGATTCTTTTTGCATAGTTTGCTAAGCAATGCTTAGTTGTGCTTCCCAATTCTTTTCTTGGAGTTCTTAAATGTTTTATTTACCTTTTGGCTTGTGTAATTTTTGGAAATCTTTTCTTTGTGTTAGGTTCTTTCTTTTCAATCTCAAATGAGAGTTTGGGTGAAATTACAAAAAGGGAGAGAGAAAAGAGATATTTTTCTTTTTTCAAAAAAATAAATAGGCAGTCAATAATTTTTAGTGGTCAGGAGGAAAGTATTCTTCTTTTCAATTGGCTAGCAATATCGAGATCAGGGAGAAAGTTTGTGGTCTTGTGCCGTAGGGTTGTGTTAGCCATTTTGCTAGACTTGGACAAGAGTTATAAACGGATTCTTTTACAACAGAAAATATGACACAGAAGAGATCTTAGAATTTTTTTATCTCTCTAGTCTTCTCCAAAGAGTTATGCAATGCTCTTTCTTCTTTTGTCTAATAGGACAGCATTTTTGTAGTCTCCTTGGACATCTAGATAGTAATGGTGTAAGCCATGTTTGAAAATGAATCCTAAAAATACAAAAGAGCCTCCTATTTATAGATAAGAAGGCTACGGTGTGAGGTATTCCTCACTTGTGGAATCGATATTCAGAGAAAAAGACAAGCCCGTAGGCGTTACAAATACCCCACCTATTCGAGAGGGTGGGTCTTCTCTCCCAAACAACCGCTAAGCACTCACAACAAGGCTCCTTCTCTCCCTACTCTTCCCCTCCCTTTTCTACTCCCCATTCTCCTAGCATGGTCCCCACTCTCAAACCGTTATTCCTTCCCTCCAAACAAATTACGTACCTACCCCCCCAACACAATTCCTTTCTTACCCCTCCTGGAATAGGTCTTCACTATCGGGGGTGTCCTAACATACGGCTTAAGAGCCTAACTAAGCCAACTAAAGCTCAAAATAACTAACAACTTAAACTCTAACTAACTTATGTAGAGTTAGTTACATCAAGGAAGGTCTTCATATCCTCCATAACACTCTGGACATCTTATCTAATAATCAGTATATGTCTTTTGCATCTTGTTCAAGAAAATAATAATAATAATAATCAGTATATGTCTTATCCAAAGAATAAAAAAAACAAAATAAAAACAAAAACAAAATTATGATCTGCAAGACCAAAGATGCTTACGGAACTAGTGAAAATTAATTGAAAATATTTTAATACCTCATAGCAGTTGCAGGCTTCTTTTAGCTTCCTCTGAACAAGATAAAACTGTCCAAGGTTGTGAAGTGCAGAACCAACCCTGAACAATAAGAATTCAAATCACCTCCAATGTCTTTCTTATTTTTTCAGAAAGTAATTTCATTAAGAAAAAATGATGAACTAAAAGACCAAAGAACTAATTGAAAAGCTTGGACTATAAATTAAATTTGACCTAATAAAAGGCACAGTATCATAAGCGATGTCAAGCAAATGAACAACACAATATTCAATCAAGCAAACGAACAGATATTTGGTTGTAAATTATGCCTGATTGACCATATACCTCATGGGTGGTCTTATGTCTACTATCAAACATGATATTGTTTACATCATAAATTCATATTAGATTGGCCATCAGTTTTCACATGAGTAGTTTTCTACACAGCTAAACAAGAATAACCTTATTGTTGCAACAGAATTGTAATTAGAAACGAAGGGGGTAAAAATCCCAGAAATCAAAAACAGAGGAAAAAGTATGCTAGGAAGGGCGAAGAAGGAAATTCCCCTCCAACAGCTGGATAGCGAGTGTCAGGGGTAGTTTATTTTGCTAGGGGGAGTCTTGTGTTAGGGGTCATGTCTCTTTTTGTGTAAGTAATTTGAATCAGGGAGAGCTCCAACCCTCTCAGAAAGGTTGCAAGTGTTTTGTAATAATTTGCAAAACATGAATACTCCAAACTCTATTAGCATGGATTAGTTCCATGCTATAGATAGTAATGAGTTTTTATCCTAACCAATGGTCCTCCTAAAATTGACACCAAGTTATTCCTAAACACTGAAAAATCAAGCATCCAACCCCGCTAATCTCTGATTCTCAAGCAAAAACTAAACCCATGTAAGAATTTTTCTTATATGAGAAACCAACCTTCATTGAGCAAGAAGAAAGAATACAAGGCCATGGAATAGAACCGCCCATCAAGAGACTGACTAGCTGTACAAAAATGGGCATCAATCAAAAAGATCAAGAATCATTTAATACAGAAGTCTGAAAGGAAGCATTAAATCTGATGCAAGACCAAAGCTCTTCCCAAGATATCTCATTCTCTTATTTCTCTCCCGCCAAATCCCCGGCCAAAAAAAAAAGAAACAAAAAACAAAGAAAGAAAGAAAACATCATAAAGCAATAACCATGAGTCCGAGCCAAGTGAACACCAAAAGTCTCCAAAACACAATCTCAAATCAAACAAGCAAACTGACACCTTCAAATGATGTGTCCAGGTCCTTTGATGCACTCATGCAAAGAATGCACCACTAAAGAGTACAACCCAAAATAAAGGAGGAATGTCTAAGAATTTGGTCTATGGTGTTAACCCTCCCGTCTAAAACTTGCCCAGCAAAGAATTTGAGCTTCTTAGGGACTTTAACCTTCCAGAATGAGGAAAATGAATGGGATTGGGGAAGACAAGGGTTGCACAACAAAAGAAAGAAAGAACTACGGGAAAACCCCTTAGAAGGAAGGAGGCCAAATGGAAATATCCCTACTACCTAAAGAAACATGGATGGAATTCGCAAAGAAAGTAAAGTAGAAACATCCACCATAGCCTATCCGACAAATAGCAACAGAAGCCAAAATTAAAAGAGGAAACACTCAAGAAAGACGTAATCAAGGCCACAAAGCAACGAAGAAAGGTGGTACAAAAGAGGGAATAAAATTATAGAAGGGAATATCGCCCAAATCTGCAGTGGTTTCCAGGCTAGTTGATCTTGGGAGTTTGGGTATTGGGAATCTAAGGCTTTGCATGAGGCCTTGTCCAAAGGGTAATGGCACTTCCCTTTGAAGCCAAATGCCTTGTGCATAGGATTATTGAAAGTACAATCCTCACCCTTTCGAGTGGGTCTAAAGGCATATACAAAAACCACTAGAAAGCTCTTTCTTCAACCTATTCTCGCTTCTACAGGTTCGTAAAATTCTCCTTTGGGCATGGCAAGCATTAAAACAATGAACTAAGCAACTACATGTCATTTCCATGCAATAAAACAAAGCTGTTGCACAATATTTATATGCTATTCCCTATGTACAAATAATGCATATTGGTAAAGCTAGTAAAAGGGATACTTCTAGTAAAGAAAAAAAAATGAAAGGTTTGCTACAAGAAAAAAGATTGCAGCAGTTTTCCAGAACCTTATATCTTCAGAGCCATAGGATTCCTCCAATATGTTGATGGCTTCCAAATACATTGGTTCTGCTTTGTCATATCTTTTCATGACTCTATACAATTCTGCCTAAAAAGGGAATAGAAAAAGAAAGTAGTTGTTAGTATCACTTTAATAATGCTACCCAATCTGAAATAAATGGCATTATTTCATCGCAGTCTTTACTCATAGATTTTTCAAAAGATTTAAAAATCCAGCAGCTAGCATACCAGATTGTTGAAGGCAGATGCAACATGAGGATCCCTCTCCCCAAAACCTTCTTTAGCTTCTTGAAGCGCAGAAACGAAACATCTTTCAGCTTCTTCAAGTCTTCCCTAATTAAAGAAAAACAATACAATACTTCAGCGTGCAAATCATAAAAGAATTAACAACTAGTGAAGGTAAAAGAAATAATGCTTGCCTGCAGAAACAAGTCCCGAGCAGTATCTGTAAAAACTCTCCACTTTGAAGTATGTATATTTGATATGACAGAACCATCCTCCACTTTGCGTAGTCCAATAGTGTCATTCTCTTCAATACCATTTTCAGAACTTGGCTTAAATGTTGTGTCCTTAGCAAAGACAGGATTTGAGTTTATTCCAAGTATTATAGCTGCACCACAGAGGTCACTGGATGTCATGGCAACAAATTATCACTCTCAAGGCATCATCAATTCTTTCTTTTTTCCCTATTCTGAAAGTTCGCAGAAAAGAAACACTGAAAGGAAATGAAATAACTGAGAAAAGAGAGCCAGAGCAAGAAAGTTCTTCAAAAACATAACCCTTCCCACCCCTCACAACCCCCCATAAAAAAGTAAGCCCCTCAGCTATTTATAACGAACAACAAACAGAATGTTTGAGAACTTTTGTTTTTACAAGAAATAATCAATATATATTTGGAAGAATAATGGTAAACAACCTGAGGGGTCGGGCTCGGAAAACTATATAAGCAGAGCCTTCCAATCATTAATAATCATAAGGCTACAATTACAAAAGATTTTCTTGTGGGTTGACCACCACCAAGTTGTATGTTGTACACTATTACAAAAAGAATCTTGTTTCCATAAATCCTTTGATTTCTCTCTTTCCAAATAAGCCATAGAGTATCACACACCGTGCAATTCCACAAAACACTAGTGTTACCTTTAAACAAAACTCCACCAATGCTATCCAAAAACTAAACCATGAATGCACACAATTTGGGAGACAGCTAGCCAAATCAAATTTATTCAAAATAAAGTTCCAGACTCTTTGAGCAAACTCAACAGTGAAGAAAGATATGGTCGCTAAAGCCTCACTGCTTTTGTAACATAAAAAGTAAACTGAAGGGCCTAGAGCCCACTGGGAAAATTTCCTTTGGAGCTTGTCAGCTTAAATTCCATACACAGGGGACCATAAGAAAAACTTCACTTTCTTTGGAACATTGAAATTCCAAATGTAGTCCACCAGAGGAGTTTTCAACAGAGCAGAAGGTTTAGTGAGATGGATGAAAGCAGATTTTGCTGATAAATCCCAGATGGCTCTAGTTTCCACAGTAAAAATTCTTGACCACTTCCCAGTTGGATCACATCTAATTTTTCCGTAAATTCAGCCCATCTAACCACCTCCTGTCAAACAATCTTCTTCCAACTCCCAAATCCCATGGTTGCTGTTCAATCACCCGGTATTAAGCTATGTTCATCCCTTGTTTGATGAGCACACATAAAATTCAGGGAATAACGAGGACACAGAAGACTCCCCTGCCCAAGTATCTTCCTGTTTGAGAACCTCAATTTTAGTTGATGCAAAACTAGGTGCTTCATCGTAACTGGATACTGGGCCAATGAAGATGAGAGGTATCTCCTCACAAAGATTTTGGAATTCAACAAAAGAGCCCGAAGGCGGTTACAAGCAACACCCCACCAATTCGAGAGGGTGGGTAACTCTCCCTACCGCTACCTTGAGCTAGTAATCTTTCCAATCCCTCCTCCCCTCTCTCCCAAGTCTATTTCTACTATGCCCTAACCAACCACCCACCTGGCCCCAGTTTCTCTCTCCAGGCCGTTATTCTCTTTCGCTCCCTTAATTATTCTCCTCTTCCTAGTACAATTCCCTTTCTACCCCTTCTAGAATACGTTTTAGTTACTGGGGTCTAACAACTTCCCCCTCATTCAGAACCACCTTGTCCCCAAGGTGGAAATCAGGGAATTGGTGAGACAAAACATGGATCGTTTCCCAGGTGGCCTCCTCTGGTGTTACCGTAGCTTCATTAACGCCCGTGGCAAAGACCTCATCTGGAATAGCCAACCATTCCATGTCTGTGGTGAGGTATGGTGGGATGGATTGCACTTCCCAGTTCGAACCCTTCGCTGGCTTCAATTGGGACACATGGAATACAAGGTGGATGGCGGTTGACATAGGCAGGTCAAGGCGGTAAGCCACTTTGCCAATGCGCTGAGTGATTTCAAAGGGGCCAAAAAACTTGGTTGCAAGCTTCTCGTTCCTCTTTTTAGCCAACGATTTCTGTCTGTAGGGCCGAAGCTTCAGAAGTACCTTGTCCCCTACTGAAAATTCCCATTCTGTTCGTCGGGTATCCGCATACTTCTTCATCCGTCCTTGTGCCCGCGTCAAATTCTCCTTAAGGACAGCTAAGGCTTGATCGCGATCAAATAACTGGCGTTCGAGTGTGTCATTGGAAGTTGGTGAAGAGCCATAGCTGAGTAATGGGGGTGGTGCACGCCCATACACGACTTGGAAAGGCGTAGTACCTAAAGAACCATTGAAAGTAGTGTTGTACCAGTATTCTGCCCAAGGAATCCATTGTTCCCAAGTTCGTGGAGACTCACCACAAAAACACCTTAGATAGGTTTCCAAACATCGATTAACGATCTCCGTCTGGCCATCTGTTTGTGGGTGGTAGGCGGTGCTTCGCTTCAACTTAGTCCCTTGAATGCAAAATAGTTCGGTCCAGAAATTACTTAGGAAAATCTTATCCCGATCTGACACGATGGAATGAGGGAATCCATGAAGCCTCACTACCTCCTTAATGAATGCAGCTGCCACTGACTTAGCCGTGAAGGGATGACTCAGAGGAAGGAAGTGAGCATATTTGCTCAGTCGGTCGACAACTACGAAAATGGTGTCATATCCATGTGATCTAGGGAGTCCTTCAACGAAATCCATAGAAATATCCTCCCAAATGCGGTCCGGTACAGGAAGTGGTTGTAACAACCTTGCCGGTGACATTGCTATGGTCTTGTTCCTCTGGCAAACACAACACTCTTCCACAAATCGCTTTGTGTCAGCTTTCATCCCATGCCAAAACAGTTCTCCACATAATCGTAAGTGCGTAAAAAGCCCTAATGTCCTCCCAATACAGAATTATGGTAGAGGTGTAGGATCGAGGGTAGAAGAGAGGATGTTTTGGATATCACCATCCTGTCCTTATACCGTAACTCACCTTGCCATAAAGTAAACTTGGGATGGCTGTCTGGATCTTGCCGCAGGTCTGCTATGATCTTAATAAGTTGGGGATCAGTCTGAACTTTAGATTTAATCAACTCCACATCTAACAAAGTAGGGCTGACAGAGCTCCAAGGTACGGTCCTGGTGGCATCCGAGAGAGGGCATCTGCTGCCTTGTTTTCCAAACCCGGTTTATATTGTATGTCAAAGTCGTAGCCCAACAACTTGGACACCCAACGTTGGTACTCAGGTTGCACTATACGTTGCTCCAAGAGAAACTTCAATGCCTGCTGGTCTGTGCGAACTATGAATCTTTGCCCCAACAGATGGACGCCATCGCTGTATAGCCATTACCACTGCCATGAGTTCACGTTCATACACGGATTTAGCTTGGCTATGCCGGGACAAGGTATGGCTAAAGTAGGTGATAGGCCTCTGCTCCTGCACTAGAACCGCTCCCAAGCCCGTACCAGATGCATCCGTTTCTACAACAAATGGCAGATTGAAGTCTGGTAAAGCCAATACAGGTAAGGAACACATTGCCCTTTTTAGGCTGTCAAAAGCTTCGGTAGCCTGCGAATTCCACTCAAAGGAATCCTTTTTTAACAGCTGGGTGAGGGGGGCCGCCAAGACTCCATAGTTTAATACGAATTTGCGGTAGTAGCCTGTTAAACCAAGGAAGCCTCGCAATTCCCGAACGTTCGAGGGAATTGGCCATTGGAGCATAGCTTGTATTTTGGCCTGATCTGCCTCCACGCCTTCTGCCAAGATCCAGTGCCCCAAGTATTCAATTCTCCATTGGCTAAATTGGCACTTCTTAAGATTGGCACACAAGGAATTATCTCGCAACACATTAAAGACCAGGGTAAGATGAGTTATATGGGAATCAATGTTAGGGCTGTATATAAGGATATCATCGAAGAAGACCAAAACAAACTTACGTAGATAAGGCCAGAATATATGATTCATCAAGGACTGGAACGTGGCCGGTGCATTGGTGAGCCCAAAAGGCATCACGAGGAATTCGTAATGACCCTCATGAGTGCGAAAAGCAGTCTTCGGTACATCTTCGGTTGCCATCCTGATCTGATGGTATCCTGACTTCAGATCAATTTTAGAATACACTTGCGACCCGTGCAGCTCGTCTAGCAATTCTTCGATGACTGGAATTGGGAACTTGTCCGAAATGGTAGCTTGATTTAGTACCCTATAATCCACACAAAACCTCCAGCTGCCATCTTTCTTTTTGACAAGGATCACCGGGCTAGAGTAGGGACTAATACTTGGCTGTATAATCCCCTTTTGGAGCATATCTGCGATCATAGCTTCGATTTCCTCCTTCTGAGTGTGGGCATATCGGTAGGGCCTGACGTTCACGGGAGGTTCACCATCTTTGAGTTGGATCCGGTGGTCCACTGCCCTTGGGGGAGGCAGGTCATTCGTGCTCTGGAACACATCAGCATATTCGGCCAAGAGTTTTTCCACTCTCTCCGACCTTTCCTCCCTTATCTCCGCCTGCACGGTTCTCTGAGGATCATTTTGAGTTGTCAAGGCCCGCAGTTCCACGAGGAAGCCTTGGTCTGAGGGTTCCCATGCATGTGCCAATCGTTTGAGGGTAACCTCCATTCGAGTGAGTGTGGGATCACCCCTGAGAACTATGCACTCATCCCCTCTTATAAAGGTCATAGTTAGTGCTGGCTAATCTACCTCCATTTTGCCCATGGCCTGTAACCATTTCATGCCCAAGATCACATCCAAATCATTGAGTTTTATAGGAAGGAAGTCCTCAACCACGGTGACTTCAGGCAATTCCATCACCACTCCACAACATATTCCTTTCCCTTTGACAGCAGTCCCTGTCTCTGCAATGATTCCGTAATTAAACGTTTCTGATTGAGGGATGTGGAGTTCATCAACTAATTTCTGCGAAATAAAATTGTGAGTGGCTCCACAATCTAGGAGGACCACCACTTCCTTGCCCTACAATGCCCCCTTTAATTTGATCATTCCAGGAGTTGTTAATCCAACCACTGTATTCAATCTGCACATAACGGCCTTTTCTGTCTCTTCTGGTACTATTTCTTCCTGTATCGTACTATCTTCTTCCTCCAACATCATTAACTCCTCATCGTGAACCATGAACACTCGCAACTGCTGGTTCTTACATCGATGCCCT